CTAGTATGAGAAGTCTTATTATGACCAGTGAGACCTAGTATGAGATCTCTTATTATGACCAGTGAGACTTGGCATGAGATGTCTTATTATGACCAGTGAGACCTAGTATGAGATCTCTTATTATGACCAGTGAGACCTAGAATGAGATGTCTTATTATGACCAGTGAGACCTAGCATGAGATGTCTTATTATGATCAGTGCGACCTAGCATGAGATGTCTTATTATGATCAGTGAGACCTAGCATGAAATGTCTTATTATGATCAGTGCGACCTAGCATGAGATGTCTTATTATGACCAGTGAGACCTAGCATGAGATGTCTTATTATGATCAGTGCGACCTAGCATGAAATGTCTTATTATGATCAGTGAGACCTAGCATGAGATGTCTTATTATGATCAGTGAGACCTAGCATGAGATGTCTTATTATGATCAGTGAGACCTAGCATGAAATGTCTTATTATGATCAGTGCGACCTAGCATGAGATGTCTTATTATGACCAGTGAGACTTAGCATGAAATGTCTTATTATGATCAGTGCGACCTAGCATGAGATGTCTTATTATGACCAGTGAGATCTAGAATGAGATGTCTTATTATGATCAGTGAGACCTAGCATGAAATGTCTTATTATGATCAGTGCGACCTAGCATGAGATGTCTTATTATGACCAGTGAGACCTAGCATGAGATGTCTTATTATGATCAGTGAGACCTAGCATGAAATGTCTTATTATGATCAGTGCGACCTAGAATGAGATGTCTTATTATGATCAGTGCGACCTAGAATGAGATGTCTTATTATGACCAGTAAGACCTAGAATGAGATGTCTTATTATGACCAGTGAGACTAGTATGAGATGTCTTATTATGACCAGTGAGACTAGTATGAGATGTCTTATTATGACCAGTGAGATCTAGAATGAGATGTCTTATTATGACCAGTGAGACTAGTATGAGATGTCTTATTATGACCAGTGAGATCTAGAATGAGATGTCTTATTATGACCAGTAAGACCTAGAATGAGATGTCTTATTATGACCAGTGAGACCTAGAATGAGATGTCTTATTATGACCAGTGAGATCTAGAATGAGATGTCTTATTATGACCAGTGAGATCTAGAATGAGATGTCTTATTATGACCAGTGAGATCTAGAATGAGATGTCTTATTATGACCAGTGAGACCTAGTACGAGATGTCTTATTATAACCAGTGAGACTAGTATGAGATGTCTTATTATGACCTGTGAGACCTAGTATAAGATGTCTTATTATGACCAGTAATACCTAGTATGAGATGTCTTATTATGACCAGTGAGATCTAGAATGAGATGTCTTATTATGACCAGTGAGATCTAGAATGAGATGTCTTATTATGACCAGTGAGATCTAGAATGAGATGTCTTATTATGACCAGTGAGACCTAGTACGAGATGTCTTATTATAACCAGTGAGACTAGTATGAGATGTCTTATTATGACCTGTGAGACCTAGTATAAGATGTCTTATTATGACCAGTAATACCTAGTATGAGATGTCTTATTATGACCAGTGAGATCTAGAATGAGATGTCTTATTATGACCAGTGAGATCTAGAATGAGATGTCTTATTATGACCAGTGAGATCTAGAATGAGATGTCTTATTATGACCAGTGAGATCTAGAATGAGATGTCTTATTATGACATATGACCAGTGAGACCTAGTATAAGATGTCTTATTATGACCAGTGAGACCTAGTATGAGATGTCTTATTATGACCAGTGAGACCTAGAATGAGCGGTAGCTATCTTCCCCCCCCCCACTGGCTACGCTAGATGAACAGGTGCATAGTATTTTCAGGCATATGCAAAGGTTTTTAGAATTTCAAAACACTAAACGAGGCATCTTGCGACTTAGATACATTTTATTATTTGATTCAGTTGACTGTAATTTTTGTCTATTTATTTTTAGTTGTGTTTTTGCCCACGGGGCCGAGTGAGTACATGTAAAACAGTTTGGGAAACGCTGAGTTCATGGGTGGGCTTGTTACGAGTATATATATTGCAGGGCTTCCCAACCTGGAGTGTTCTATTTGGCCTATCAGAAGGGGCGATTAAAAGTGTTTATAAATTAAAGTCATTTTCAATTTTGTTAAAAGGCATGGCTTATTTTCAGGGGGTGAGAGAATCAGATTATAATTATTCTTAAGGGGGTGCGAGAATCAGTCTAACAATTATTCTTAAGGGGGTGCGAGAATCAGTCTAACAATTATTCTTAAGGGGGTGCGAGAATCAGTCTAACAATTATTCTTAAGGGGGTGCGAGAATCAGTCTAACAATTATTCTTAAGGGGGGTGCGAGAATCAGTCTAACAATTCTTAAGGGGTGTGAGAATCAGTCTAACAATTATTCTTAAGGGGGGTGTGAGAATCAGTCTAACAATTCTTAAGGGGTGTGAGAATCAGTCTAACAATGCTTAAGGGGGTGCGAGAATAAATCTAATAATTCTTAAGGGTGACGAAATATATTAAAAAAGCTTTGAAAGCCCTCATCTAATGTGGAGTTCATCTGATCAATTCAAATAACATAGTTCTTTCTTTTATTATCCCCCACCCCACCTCAAGGTATGCAAATAAAGAGCAGAAGTATCCAAGTACCGACTTACACCGCAAGCAGAATCTTAGAATGGTCAAAACGACGACTTTTTCCAGCAACACTTTGGGTAAAAGAGTAGTGAGAGGAAAGTGCATTGGTGAGATGGTTAGCTTTCAATTTGTTGTAGGGATAATTTTGTCAACATTTCTAAGTTACCAGTAATGACAGACGTGATGCGATTGAAAGTAAAACATTCATCACGGATTGTAATTAAGTTTATAAAAATTTAGGTTTAAATTAGAGGTTGTAGTTTTGAAGAAAGCCAATCGTTATTTTATCTACACAAAGTTGATTTATGCCCTAAATACATTTTCAAAGTCTGCCGGTAATTAATGTTTTTATCTGTTATACTTGTAGGTAAGTGTAAAAATGGCTACACCATTTATGCCGGGATGGATCTCTCAACCGGACAGTTTGTAGCCATTGTTAAGTGGACTCTGAGGAGGAAGAATTCTTTTAAAATATCCAAATTTCATGATGAAAAGAGTGCCCTACTTTATGAACAGGTAAGAATAATATAATATGATTTCACAGACATGTTTAAATTGCGCTGAAGATATTGAGGTGCTATAACAAGTAAGTTAATTCTTATGTATGATAGCATTTCATCCGACATAATGTAGCATTCTCAAGACTTTGAATTATTATATCCGGTCGACAAACGTCAAATTGCTGACCAAATTAAGTTCCGATCACCAAGGTCCGGCACATTTGAATAACAGACATGTCACGTGATATTGCATGGGGAAACGTTCGAACCTAGCTAAAACAACGGCCTTCCCAAATAGAGGTAAGAGAGGTTTCTGGTCTTGTTTCCTGCATAATGGCAAAGTTTGAAGGTTTGGGACTGGACCAAGAACGGTGCTCTCCTGGAGTGCATGGCAAGGGGTGAAACTGAAAACTCGGTCTACTTTAGGATTACTTCCGTTTGACCAATCAGAATTCAGAGTTCATGAATTGCAAGGGAGATGATAACAAATTATTTTTTTACAGATAACTTTTCCCTTTTATTACTCATCTCACAATGAATTCTCGAATCATACTAGACAAGAGACTACTGCTTACTTACGGCTTCAACCCCACCTTGGGCATTGTCCTTCTTTAACAGTTTTTCATTCATTTCGGCCTTGTGTTTTCCTTTCCACTTGATTTCACTTTCAGATGTATCAAATACTCTGTGTCTGCCTCTAGCTCGCGTCTCCATGTATTCTTTGCCCCCCCCCCCCCCCCCCCTGGATTCCATGTTAAGGCTTGTCAGGTGATGTTATTTTGGGGTTTACAACAAGTATGCCCCATCCACCTCCACTTTTCCCGGTGATTTCTTCAGCTATTGCCTCATATTATGCCATCTCAAGTAAGTGATGATTTTTGGCCATGTTATGTTTAGGATCTTTCTAATGCAAATGTTCTTGAGGTCTGTACTTTCTGCGCAATGCTAACTGTTGTTCTCAAAGTTTCGACTAGACAAAGACACAGACAGTTGGTGGTGTCAGTTGGTGGTGTCATTTGGTGGTGTCAGTTGGTGGTGTCAGTTGGTAAGCTAATCTTGCACCTTTAATTTAATTCAATACTCAAGTTTATTTAAACTTACTTTTTACCAAATAAAGTTTAACGCACACTCTAAAGATTCCCTACCACCATTGTATAATATTTAAATTAGGCCTAAATACTTTCAGTGACCGTCACCTAAAACATAGAGTGATTGTTTTTCTTGTTGCCAATTTATGGGGGCGGGGCGTGGGGTGGGGGACATGGGGTGGACCAAAGCTAATAAGGCTGAAAACTTTTTAAAGGTTCTTTGATTCATTCGTTGAGATAATATCGTTTAGTTTCTTTGTTAATATAAAATAATAACCAGGCGGCATCACAGATTATGGGCTTGGTCTTGACGTCATTGGGCTTATTTTCTTGGATGATTTCTAAATCAACCTTCACAACCAACTAAATAAATAACCTATAAGCATTCGCTGTTGTCATGTTAGATCGAAAGCCAAAGCTTCAATGATTTTCAGTGAAGAGTTACTTCCCGCTTTGATATATTTGACAAGATAGAGCTATAAAAGCTTTATATGATATTGATCGCTCAATAATAAAACATGTTTTAACATGAGCCTTGCATCTATCAGGGGCCGAGAAAAGCCTGGTACACGTCACGTGCCTCTTTTATCTCTCTCTTTTTTTTTGTCCCCTTCCCTCTTTTTTAAACACACCTTACACACCTTATGCGCAATAATATTTCTTCGATCACTTTTAGCGGTTCCCAACTACGCCCCACCTCTTTTTTTAAAACTATGTTTTATACCATTTTCTGTTTTTAAATTTCAGGGCCGAAGAAAATTGGGAGTGGGGGTGGGGGTGGACATATTTTTATTAATATCTTCAAACCCAATTATGTTACAGATTTGAACTTTGGTAAGGAGGATTCATTTTAAACGAAATAATCATTATGCTCTTTAAATATTTGGCTATTTGGAAATATGCGTTAAACTTATGGAGTTTAGAGTGTATGGTCATGGTCAAAGGGAGTGGAAAATTAAATGTTAGTGTAGTTAAGGAGCGTGGGGAAAGGTGTGGGGGTCACACCTAAAGGGGTTACCACCCCGGTGGTGCATTTATTAATGTTTATTAAAACTTAATGTAATATGTGTGTGTGCGGATGCGATTTTTGACCTTTGACCCAGTGAGCAATAGATTTTGAAAATTAAGGAAATATTGTCTTTAACCTTCTTCAAACCACATTTCAAAGGGAGTTAAGAGGATGTGTGTTTTTTTTGTTTTTGTTTTGTTACGTCGATCACTACAGGCCTCTCTTTAAATCCGATGTTATTAGTTACATTCTTTAAAAAGACGTTATCTTTTTTCTTTTAAAATAAATAAATATGTGTTGCATCAATACATTGAAAACCAATAATTAAGTAATACAAGTACAAATCGTATTTTTAGATGTTGAGATTTCGCAGTAAAAATAGTCTATAGAACGTGGCGCAATGTGCTTTCTATTTTTACCCAGGTAACACCAGGTCATATCTTTTAGTATATTTATTTATATATATATATATGCCCTATATATATATATATATATATAAGAATGAGCAACTATGATTATGTTTAATAGGTGCTCAAAATAAAATTCCCAATAGCTGCACTAAAAATAATGCCCAAAAACTGTAAGCGAAAAATAAAATCTCATTAAAGAACTAAATGGGATTCTTTAAAACCCACCAAGTGCATTTTGTTTCATTTTACGGAAATTGAATCAATTTAATCAAGCCAATCAAGCTCTCGACATATCTCTAATAATTCTCTCTCGGACTCATAACCAGAAAGCCTATATGTTAAACACTCACAGTTTTCGACCAAGGGACCCAAACGTCATTGAGAAATGGACTTTCGCTTCATGTAATGTAACAGCTAACTTAACCTATTTATTATTCATTGCCTTGCATCTTTCAACCAATGCGCGCATACGTCCATGAGGGATATTTACTTATTTAATGATAAAACATTCACTCATAATTCCATGACCTAGACACTACCCTTTTGTTTCAGTTTTAAAGTAGAATCAACTACCAAATTGCAGTAATTTTATTTTAGAAACTGTATTCTTCAAACCCTTGGTTCTTACTTTTAAATAGGTTTCAAATGTTCAGGAAGAAATAAAAGTATTGCTGAATTTGAAACACCCAAATCTCATTCCCTACTTGGCCTGGAGGCAAAGTTCACTTAATGAGAAAATCATATTACAAGTAAGTTAATTTTATTATTTTTGTTTGAATGTTATTGTTGTTGTAGTAATTGCCTACATCACCACTGTAAAATAAATAATTACTTTTAGGAGGTTGGAAGGCATGATCGCGATATATTAATGTTTTACAACTTAAACTTCTTCAATTTCCTAAAGTGTTATTGCATTGTCCTCATTTCAGTACCTTATAAGCCTTATATACTTCAGCATTCATTCATATTGTTATGAAAAGCTTGAGCTCTAAGCTAATTTTAAGATAAAACTAATCTAAGAACCATAAACTTTGTGTAATATATGTATGGTATGGCATTTCCATTTTAAGCTTACAATTCTGAGACTTTGAAGTCTGGTTTTATCCTCTAAAATCTAAAGACCACATGAAAATTAAAATTAAAAACAAGAAACATTAAATCATTTCTTCTCCTCCCTACCATTGATTTCATTATTTTTTGTTTTGTGTGGTCAAACATTTTAGTATTCCGAGTCTCTGATTCAATGTCACTTAAGACTTCCTTTATTGAAGATTGTCTTATTTTGACTGTATTTGTAAACTTTTAATGACTTTAGATAATGTTAATTTTTGGGGGAATTGGTTTTAATGCAATTTTATACAGACTTGAAATAATTACATCCAGGTACTAGTTGGATATTCTGGTGAAACAAACCTTGGCTCATACATGGGGGCAAAGACTCGTCCCTCACTACATTTGGGATCCTTAAGATCAATCACAGTCCAAATCTTGCAAGCTCTCAAATACCTGCATCAGAAAAAAATTGTTCATGGCAACTTAAATGTAACTTACACTCATTCCTTTTTTTAAAAATGGCACTGCTGTTTCACATATGTTTAACATATTATTGAGAATTGATTGATTTAGTTTTTTTATAGTATATATTTGTTATCTTGAACTAACACTTATTTCAAGACTTAATTTAAAAATGCACACACACACATTATTACTAAATAATAATCGACCAAAGTATAAAAGAATAAAATATAAAGGATTACTCCAATCAATATTGGTGTTTTGCCATTGATCATATCTTGCAAAAATTAAGCTATTCAGATTTCTTCCAGTTGTCCAATATTCTAATTGACGGTACAGGAAAAGTGCGTCTAGCAGCCTATGGTCTTGAAAAGAAGTAAGTCTTAACTAAACAAAAAAAATTGAAAAAAACAAAAAAAAAAACAACATTTTTTTTTAAAAATCATGCTCTGAAGTGATTACTATGTTTTTAAATACTTTTGTTAAAATAGCAATTTAGCTCTTTAAAATATGCTTCATGAATTAAGGGGAATGTAGTCAAGATATTAAATTTATTTTGTCATTTAATTAAAATAACATTTTTATTTAATATGCAAAGTTGTCTGTATAGACTGTAAAGAAAAAAACTGGGGCTTTTAAATTATACATGTGTTAAAAAACAAGCATCATTTTTTTTTATAGAATATCAGCTCTCAAAGATTCAATGGAAAGGGAAAAAAATGATTTCTTGTGGAGAAAAAACAAATCAGAGAGACAAGACCAGTTTCATGATATTTTATGCCTTGTGAGTTACATCAGAAACTCAAAGCTTTACTCATCTTAATTAAGAATATTGTTTTTTCAAATAAATAATTTTCACTAACTTATTTGTATGTGTTATTTATTACTTTGAATGAGGTTAGGCAAGGGAAATAATATCTTTTTTTTTTATTTGCAACTCTTCTTTTTTAAGACCATCACAACTTACTCGTTGACTTAAAACTTATTATTTAATAAGCAGTCATATATTTAATATTATATATATATATATAAAGTTCATGAACACAAGATGTCAACTTTGCCTATTAAGGTTTCCAACAAAAATTCTGGAAAAATAATTTATTACACTTAAAACATTTCCTTCTTTTAGGGTCAAGTATTGCTGTCCCTCATTCCTGGTCTTCCTTGCAAGAAATTTATACCAGGAATTCCTGCAAAACTCCCTGAAAACCTGAAAGATTTCTTAAATAAGTGAGGCCTAGAATAATGAGTTCATCATCTTTGCTTTAGCACAAAAGTTCATTTGTAACAGAGTTAAACAGATTAGCCCATTGTTCTAAAAATAAATTAAGATTTAAAGAAAAATCAAAATAAACAATTAAAAACTGTTACATTTTTATTTTACCGCTGATACATAAGAGTAAAAGCCACAAGATGACAAATTTTATGTTGTTGCTTTTTTTGGTAACCTGGCAAAAGTTTTAACTCAGGCACCTCACTAAATAACAATGATCAGTTTATTTAAATTAGATAATTTTATTTTGATCTGAATTTTTTAAATTTTATTTTCTTTTATTTTTAATTTTTAAAATAAATGTGGCTTTTCACAGGTGCCTGCAAAGGGAGAAATTGGGCCAAATTTCTGCCAAACAGTTACTTGGGCATTGTTTTGTCAAGGATCATTTAAGAAAGTCAATTTGTAGGGCTACAAGTAAAAATTTTAAAAGGAAAAGGATTTCTCCACTTTTGAATGGTAAATAAGTAATAAAAGATACAATTATTTTGTAACCAACATTAATTCTATTTTAATTAATATAAATTTTTACAGGTTTGCAGCTTAATAGCGAGCAGACTCATTGTATTATCACTGTATTTTTTTCTATTTGATCTCTCAGACTCCAATAGCATATTCAGTGCATGTCAAAATTTAATTATTTTCATTTCTGCTTAGAATAGATTTAAATTTCCTCCTTGCCTTAACGAAATAGATAAAATCTTGATGCACAAAGCAGAAACAAGAAAGCTGGGTGAGCTGGAGATACTCTCAAGTTTAGCTACCAACAGTCAATCAAGATTTGCATCAGAGTTTGAACAGCTCAAAGTTTTGGGGAAAGGGGGATTTGGAGATGTATTTAAGGTGGGTTTTACAATGAATAGAACAGTTTAAAGAATCAGGGACTACAATTTGTTAACTTATGTAATTTTATTTATTTACATAGCCTTTTTTCTTTAAAAGTCTCAGTTCTTTAATGGACTTGTGGTGCATTCTGTAAAAAAAAAAAAAAAAAAAAAAAAAAGGATGAATTAATTTTCCCTTTGATATAAATGCCAAAGCTATTCTTAACAAAATGTTAAACAACTTTTTCAATTGCTTTATCATTATCTCACCTTCACAGCTGAAAATAGCCTGTATTTAATGAATTTTAAAAATTATGCTCAGGTAAGAAACAAGATTGATGGCGGTGTGTATGCTATTAAAAGAATTTCCCTCAATCCCAGGAGTAAAGTTTTAAATGAGAAAATAATGAGAGAAGTAAAGCTTTTGTCTCAACTCAAACATGAACATGTAGTTAGGTAATTATATTTCTCTTCATATTATTACTTACAAATTATTTTTAAAATATAATGACATGAGCTGAAACAACTACCTATTCATAGTAGGCCTACATTGTTAAATATTGTACATGACCATTGAGCATACATTGAGACATGTTTAGGGTTGTTTTTAACTTGCTTTCAAGTATAAATGTTTTTACTTTTAATATTTTATTAACTTTTTAAAAATAATTTTCATCATTTTAAATTTTTTTCTGTGAAGGTATTATTGTTCCTGGATTGAAATCAGTGAAGAACAGATATCATCAAAAGCAATTTCAATTTTTTCATCCCCCAAAACTGAAAAGCCAGTAGTAGATAAAACTGAAAGGGTCCCCCATATTGTGAGAAGCATACCCCTAACAAGCCCTCCAGTAATGTTTTGTGGACAGATGTGTGCCAATTCAGATTTGTTAAAATATTTTGAGAAACTGGCACCAGAAGATGAACCAGTGGAATGGCTGAGCACAAATGATGATACACAAGGTAAATATTGCAATAATGTCTGCACTGTAATACATTCATAAATCGAATTAATAAAAATTCTAATAAATTAAAAAATCCCAACTTAATTATAGAACACAGTTTTAAAGATAATCAGGTCTTTGCCCCTTTTTGGTAATAAGAAGACATATAGCCTATTTCTTGAGTAACGTTTAGTTTACTAAGATAAAAAGCTCTCTTTTTAAATGGCCAAAAATCTACTATTTATTTTGAGTACTGAAATACATAATTTTGATCAAATGCAGGTATATTTGCAGTGAATCAAAAACATGAAGTATCAAGTGTCTCTCATAATTATGAGAGTATAGGACATCCAGCCATGTGAGGCTCATAAGTTAATAATAGTCAATTTGAATCTATTTTCTTTGCTGTGACTGTTACATAAATTTAATTGACAAGCCAAATTTCATCTACATTTGTGTGTTCCAGGCTTAAGAAACATTATTTTAATATAATCTTATCAAAGATACCTCCGAAATTCTTAAGTTCATTTATAGCCTGTTCATCTTTTTTCAGATGTAAAACCAACATGAATAGTAAATCTTTATCTAGTGTAAGTACACATTTAATTAATCATGAATTTATCAACATTTTTTAAATCTAAATAGATCAAATGAAATTCAAGGTTAACCTTTTTTTAAATGCATGGTATTGTGTTTTGGAAAACAACAATTGATTTGCTTGAAGTTTGAAAAAAAAGACAAGGCTAATAGCTCTTGCTTTTAAACAAGTTGCACACATGCAGAATATGACAGCAAGAATATGTGATTATCTAAAATAATTTGATGGAAGTTTTATATCAAGTGTTTTAAAACCATTAAGATTGATGAATCAAGTGAGACCTGTCAGCCAGGTGTACATGAAGCTGAGGTCAAAGCAGAGCAAGTTGTCAAGATATTATATATCCAGGTAAGTGCACAGGCAGGTTATTCTCTCCCCCCTTACAACATACTACTTTATTTGTAAAGCTTCATCAGTCCAGATGAAAATTTAAAATATTTAAAATAATATTATCTTTAAATAGTGTTTCTTTTTTTAAAATTTATCCAACAAACAGATGGAATGTTGTGAAGAAATCACACTAAGGCACACTATTGATAAAGGACTTTGCTCTAATATGATTCGAGTGTGGAGATTGTTTAAGGAAATCATTGAAGGGCTGGTCTACATACATGAAAAGGTTTGTAATAGTTAAAAATCTAAATTTAATAATTGCAAAAATTTAACAGTCAACTTGATTGATTGTAAATTAGGTTTAAACACCTCATTCTTTAAGAATAAGTTGATATTGTTATAAAAAGAAGAACTGCAATTTAAGGGACTTAATTTTCTAGGACATAATTCATAGAGATCTGAAACCTGTCAACATTTTCCTGGATTCTTATGACCATGTGAAGATAGGAGATTTTGGACTGGCTAGAACAGATGTTTTATCAAAGGTGAGAAGGAACTTAGATTAAGTCTTTTTTTAATTTAAATTCTAAATCAGAATTATCAACTTGCAAACAATGGAGTTGATATGTCTATCTAACCTAATAAGCCTACACCTCACCCACTATTTACGTCGAAAGATGCCCAAAAATGCATATGCATTTAATTAGTAATTGTAAATTTATTGTTATTCCAAAGTACTGGGCCATATAGTGCATTTTTTACTGCTGCTGTTATGCAGTCTTTTTTTTCTTAACAAATTACCATTAAAAGTGGCAATTAAAAAAATTTAATTTAAATGAAGCCTGTACGATTAATTTAAAAGATGTCAATATCTGTTTTGATATGTGTGCTCAGGATGGTTACTTGTCAGACAAGACTCTCCAGGCATCAGATCTTGATCTCAGTTCTTCACAGTCTGATGGTAGTGTTGGAGATGGGATTTTGACAGGAGCAGTGGGGACAGCCCATTATGTCAGTCCTGAGGTTATGTTGGGTGTTGGGAAAGTTCATTATGATCAGGTGGGTGCATATAAAAAACCAGACACATGCCAACTTAAAAGACAGCATTCAGTTAGATGTATTTTGATTTTGTAAAATTCTTCATAATTTATAAGGTGATAATTAATTGAGCAAATTGACTCTTGATTTTTGTGAAAAGTAAATTTGAAATAACAAACCAAGTTTGTTTAAGATTAGACCTAATCCATTCTCAGTGTTACAAAGTAATACAAACTATCCCCAAACATAAACTTTTTTTTCAGAAAATAGATATGTATAGTTTAGGGGTAATTTTTTTTGAGATGTGCTACAGAAGTTTGCCCACAGAACATGAAAGAGGAAGTGTTCTCCATAACATAAGGCTGCCTTCAGTTCAGTTTCCTGATGATTTTGATACAAAGTTGTTGAACCATCAGGTACGCTTGTCTAATTGTCTCAGGTGTATTTAATCTCTAAAATTTAGAGCAGAGTCCTTCTGTTTTTCTCTGTCTCCATCTGAAGGACTCTGCTACTGGTTCATTTAACTTTAACTTAAAACCAAACAAACCATGTTTGATTTGATTTTCCTTAGACTCAGATTATTCGCTGGCTGCTAACGCATGACCCAAACCTGCGACCCACATCCAAAGAACTGTTGAGTTCAAGCCTCCTTCCACCAATCGTCATTCAGGAGACAGAGTTGAGTGAGATATTACGGTTAGTCATCTGTCATCCTCAATCTACATCACACAGTCATGTGCTGGAAGCACTTTTTAAACAGAAAATAATGCAAGAGCAAGATGCTATGTATGATCATGAAACAATTGAAGTAAGTCCTGTTAATGAAACATCATACAGAAGCATCTGATTAACAATGCATATGTTGATAATATTACAAATTATTAAATTTTTAAATTTCTAAATAATTATATTTTTTTAATGCATCCACCAAAATAAAGATTTAAGGTTAAATTTTATAAGTTTAAAGAAGTTTTCCTCTATTAGTATTGAGCTATTGTTTATGAAACGGAGCATTCACCACCCAAGACTGTCGTGGAATGTGACCTAGGGCTTAGGCTACTAAAAAATTTCATGAATGGCTGCTCCACGCCCACTTAGATGAGAAATCAAAATTTGTGCTTTTTGTTTAAGTTCAATAATTTATTTCTCGGAAACCCTAGGGTTTTTATTATGCTATCAATTATATCTTGCCGGAAAGGAGATTTTATTCTTTATACCTTAGTATATTGCAAGTCGACATCTTTAGACAGTATTGTATTAAGTAATTAAGGGAGTTTTCACATTCAGGCTCTTCTATTTAAAATATCTCCAAGACCATTTATCTTATATAAATATAAGAGTGTATCTTAGATAGCTGAGAATAAATGTGAAAAGACACATATAAGTCTTTGGGGTTTTGGTCTGGGATTTTGACTCTACTTTAGGTTGGAGTCTCCAGGGATTATTAATTTACCATAGTAAATCCGCCACAAGTCAAGTAATAGCTTGGTCTATGTGTGAGGTGGTTGCTCTTTGGTACATTTGAGTGACCTTATTTATAGTGAGTATGCTAATAGGTATTGGTACTCAAAGTTTGAATCATATCCCTAAAGTGCACCATTGTTCACCAGCACTATTTGGATGCTTTGTAAGCTTTTTAATATAATTAGACTTACTGCAATGCGCTTTTGTCTTAAAAGGAGACGTCAATGGACCGATGCATCAAGTATGAAACTAACGGTTGTTATATGTTATAATATTGTAGTAACTGTCCTGCTATGTGTGCATCTTACATAGACACCGTACATGGATGACAGCACAATAGTAATTTCTAGACTTGTATGTTAGCCTTCACTTCTCACACTGATTCTAAATGAAAGTAAGACAGTGTAACCCAGCCACAAGATTTTTCTGGAATCCTTTTTTTCTTAACCCTCCTTCTTATAGAACAGTCCTGCATAGCTCAAAATGTAAGGCAGGCCGTAATATTTTATGAAAAATTTTTGCGGGCCAAAAGAACATAGGAGAGGACTTGTGCTGGCCAAAAGAAAGTAGGATGGGGGGAATGATATTAAGAAAATAATAAGAATAAAGAATATTTTTTTTCCATGAGAAAAGAAAAGCATTGGTTAGGTCTGAGTGGAAGGAAATAGTGAAGCAGGCCAAAGCCCTACATGGGCTGTAGTGCCACAGGGATGGATGGACAAATTTTTTTGTTTCTTCACGGGCCGCAAAGTGGGTGATGGCAGGCCACATGTGCTTCGCTGGCCGTATATTGTGCAGGCCTCTTATAGAACACTCTAGGAACAAATAAAAGGCTATAGTTCTCAGGACCTGCATTTTTGTTGAGTTATCCAAATATCCACTAAAAACTGTCAGATGCCACTCACCACTCAGCTACACTATTATCCTTTATATAAAAAAAAAAGAATATATCTGTGCAGTTTTTTTTAACATTGCATGATGTAGGTTATTGGACAATTTCAGAAATAAAATGCATTAGCCAATCAAAATGTTTCAAACAAAAATTTATGTATATAAATTGATCCTTAAAATACTATTAAGACAACCAGTTAAAATAATTGAATGACCCAAGTTTCAAGTCACAAACCAATGATCAGATTTTATTTCTTTCCTCTTTTTAAAATTTAGCATTTTATTTGAATTCTCTATACAAATTGCAGTGCTTTGAGAAACAATGACATTTAAAAAAAATAGATGCATGAAACCATCTGATTTGCTCCCAAAATATATTTATGTTTCTGAGATACTTAAGGTTAACCTTAGTTTATTTTCTCTATTACAGAACATTATTTCATGGAGGACAGCCATTTTATTTCAACAAATTAAGTCAACTCTAACTACTGTCTTCACCAGACATGGAGCCATTTACATTCCTCTGCCATTGTTTATGCCTAACTGCAGTGTGATTGATGATAATAAAGATATGGTCAAACTTATGGACTGCAAAGGTGGAATAGTTTCAGTACCTGTAGATCAGAGAGTAAGTTATTTTGTAACATATGTTGTAGCTTTAAAATAGTTTTGATTCTTGTGACTGCAAACCTTGTGTTTCATGACTTGCAAAATTAAAAAAACTCAATAATAATAAGTCCAGTGTATAACATGTTTTATTTATTTAAGATTCCATTTGCTCGTTACATTGGAAGAAGAAATATCCAATCAATGAAAAGATTCGCAATTGAAAAAGTATTTACAGAAAAGAAATGTCAAAATGCCTCAAGCTGTGTCCACCCAATGGAAGTTACGGAGTGTGCCTTTGACATCATTTCATCATCTGACAGGTGAGATTAACTATTATTCTTGGTCAAGGTTTAAATCTTGTTTGAGTTTCATTCATACATTTTAATAATACAGGAGAAATAATTTAGGCCAAAGGGTTTTAATATGAAGTTTTGCCTAATGACTTAATAAAATTACCGTATTTTTTGGCGTGTAACACGCACTTTTTCTCCCCGAAAATAGGGGGCAAATCATGTGTGCATGTTATATGCCGATATAATGTTTAGTTTTTTTACTGAAATTTCCTTCTTAAAATGAGGTGCGAGTTATACATGGGGGCGTGTTATACGCCAATAAATACGGTATTTGAAATACTAACTTGATTTTATATGGTGTTAACTATAATCAAAATATCTAAAATCTATTAAAGCTGCTTCCTCTCTTGTCATAAAAGATTTATTTTTCTATCACAGATAAAAATAAACTGAAAAATGGAGTTCACTGCTGCTGATTCATATCAGACATTTTCAATAATTTACAAAAGACAACATTCAACTGAAACTATGGTTTTAAATTAAATAAACTCTTATACTTGAGCGATGAACATCTCACTCCAAAGCCTAATGATATGTTCTTTTTAAATGGTTATTTAAATTGATATCTTTATAACCAGACTCATTGTCTTATTCCTAATTAGTTGAAAGTTTTCAAAATGTCTACTGCAAGTGTTATCCTTTCTCTATTAATACTGTGTATCGAATGCAAATGCAAGGTGTTTAAAAAAAAACATAAATCTGAGAGCAGTGGTTTGAATAATTAAAAAAAAAAGATGAGTCACACAATCAATTTTTTTTTTGCTATTTAGAAAGTATGTTATATATTTGACATACAAAAACCAATAATTTATTTCAAAAGTATTTCACTATTATTTAAATCACATAAGCCATATTTTTTCTAGTTTTTAAAATTTCCTTTCAAGTAATGATTAACGAGTGAAAATTAATGATTAGTGAGTGACAGCTGTCAGTTTTATGTCTACATTATTGGATAATAGGGTTTCTTTTTACAGCTTGATTCCAGACGCAGAAATTCTCATTGTGGTACAAGAAATAATTAACCACTATCCTACACTTCAGGTATATATGATGAAAAGATCAACATAACTATGATTAAAGATATAAAATTGACACTTTAAAAGAAAATTGTAATTAAATCACTGTATACCCATACTAAAATCAAACATTAATAAGCAAAATAGTAAAAGAGTAAACACCAAAATTTCCTATAAATTACTTGCACATCTTGAGAATATGTTTCTTATTTCATATTATGAATGATCAATAAAACAGTTTCATTTTTTATATATCTTACAATGACTTGCTGATTGTTTGATCTCTATCTAGGCTAGAGATTTTTATATTTGCATCAACCACATGTCCCTTTTAAAAGCTGTGCTGTTATTTTGTGGGATCCCTGAAGAATTGCACATCAAGGCATTGACAGCACTTGCAGAGTGTGTGAGTAATTTCCCATATACCAGGTAGCTAAAACTTAAAGTCATAATTAATTTATTCAATGTAATTAACTACTTTGACTTTGACATTTTTATTCTTCAACACAGTGTGTCAGTGTCTGGTAGACATATGAATAAAAACATGTAAAAATAAAAAGCTAATAAATATAATATTACTGGTATCAATATTTTTGCTTAATATTTTTCACAACTGCAATGTTTTTTCTGGTAGTCAAGTAAAGCTAAGAAGTCAACAATTTTAGAGATGGAATTGGGTAAAAAAATGAGTGAACAGATGGCATCAAACTTAAATGCTTTACTTGAGCTTGAAGGAACGTTATGCAAAGTTACAACAAGCCTAACACTTCTCTCTAAATCATCGGTAAATAATACAATTTTTGTTACCTCGTTCATTTGTATCAAGTTTTGACTGGGATACGATTTTAAAACCATTAAAAAAATCTTAAATTTCTATTTATAGGTCAACCCTGCACACATTTTTCATTCAGGTGATTTAGAGATAGAAATAATTGAAAAAAAAAACATGAACCAGTTGAGATAATTTTAATTGTTGTTACTTTTTTTTTTATCTTCTAGGCAAGAAATCTCAACCAATGGGGTTTAGATGATATCGCAAAAATTCTGTCTCATGCAACAAGTTTGGGTCTTCAGTTGCAGGTGATTAACACTTTTTAAAATTTATATTTATGTTTGGGGAAAATGTATACTATGACTGCATTTATAAATGCTGATTTGGTTAGATAATTTTAGGGTTTTAACTTGTGCTTAAAATTATGTGCCAAAATCATCAATGAACTAAGATATGCAAACAATCAGTGCACTTCAATTTTTTAAAAATTTTTCATTAGTTTATATCATAAATCTTGTGCAGTAAATGAAATGGGGGAAGACCAGATCTTGGTAAATATTAGGGTGTATTCCTTATGAATTATTTTTAAGAAAGTCTTCAGTAAAAATCAAACAGCATAGTTCAGTCCACAACAGTTCCTCATAGTCATTTGTAAAAAAACAAAGTGAATGGTGTGTTCCTAATTTTTGCTCATGGAGATAAAATGAGAATAAATGCACCAAATACTTCACCTAGTTTCCTCAGATTTTCTGTATTTAAAAAAAAATAATTCTTTATAGATTGAAGTTTTCAAGATTAAAACAATTATTTTTAAGTGCATAATGTAAAGATTTTGAACAGAAATGCAAACATTTTTGAAGTTTTAAATGATTTGTTTTCCTGGGTGTGAGGTGGCAATTGTTTTTAAAGTGGTGTGTCCTTTTTGTTTTCAAGTCACACAACTCTAAAACTCTTTTTAAATCAAAACTATTAGAAACTTGTTTTAAATATTTAAGAGGCTAATCAAGACCTAAAGTTTCTTATTTTCTTTCAACTGCTACATTTCATTTTTCCTCAATTTGTCCAGACTTTTTAGTTTATGTAGTACAACCATTGATCTTTAATTGTGTTGTGTTACCGCAAAGATTTAAAAAAAAATTCACAGGTTAAAGTGTCCCTTGGTCTTATCTACAAACCATCTCTGTACTCAGGCGTAGTCTACCAAGTTTTATCTGACAAAGGTACCAAAGTGAGAAGTTTGCCAAGTGAGACATTGGCTGTTGGTGGTCGCTATGATCAAATGGTTTGTCATTAATGAAAATAGCTACAAATAGACACATTTAAAAGAATGTCATGTTAACTGATTTGTTAAAATTTGTTCCATTAATTCAATTCACACTTCTTTCATGTATTATTTTAATATCATTGTCATTATTGTTTTATTTTATAACATTAATTGTTTCAGAAATTTTACATAAAATATAAAAACTCCATGTCTGGAATGAGAGAGGAACAAGATACATTATTTATAGGCTTCATGAGCTGAAGCTTGCTGCATCAAAGTTATTGTCTGAAAGGGGTATTTTAAATCCTTTTTGACAAAAATAATATATTTTCTATTTTTTATTCAAAGATCCAAAACTTTATGCTTCCACATCACTCAGAGACATCTAAAGATCCTCCTTGTGGTGTGGGCATAAGTATTTTATTAGAAAAAATGGCTTTTGTTGTTGCTGAGGATGAACAGGTAAAAAAAAATCATAACAAATGATAAATGTTTGTGATTATTAAAATAATAATGGTTTAATTTGCAATGTAAGATTGTTTTAAAAAAAAGAAATATGTAAAGATATGTTTAAAACCTTATCTAGCAGAACCATCAATAAAAGCACTAATACAAATTTACAAGATATTTAATTGCAGACATTTTAATTTGCTTCACTTAAATAATTTTAAATAAATTTAGTTTGAAAAGGCTGGTATCAAATTTTAGTTCTCTATGATTTAGGAAAGTTGATTAAAAATATCTGGAGATATTGAAATAAAACAGATTGTATGCTCAGTTAAATAAAAAAAGAGAGAGTCCATTCATGTATCTCTCATGATTAAACAGATGTCAAATAATTTTATTTTGTCAACTATTAAAACATTACAATATTTTTAAGGAAAGAAGGCATTCATCATTTTTGTTTTAAATTCTTGCCTATAAATAAAGCTCAAAACAAAGTTTCAGAAACTTTCACCTTGTGATGTGGTTGTCTATTCCATGGGAGATAAACTGATGTTGAAGGAGAGGTTATCAGTAGCTAAAGAGCTCTGGGCTGCAGGATTCAGAACAGATTTGATGTTTGACAAAGTAGAGGTTAGTATGACAAAGTAGTTCTCATACAAAATCTCTTTATTCACTTCTAAATAAACTAGGACTAAAAGAACTTTTGATATTGGTACAAATAACTGTTTCTTGTATTCATTTCCTGAATTTGGTTTCAGGACTTTACAGAACTTATAAAAAATTGTATGTATAAAGGCATTTCTCATGTTGTTGGTGTCATCCAGTCCAACCCTAGCATAGTGCAAGTGAGTATTCAAACATGATATTCATCCTAACCACATTCATGGGTTGGTCAGTTTCTTTTCAATGATTACTGAACATTTTTCTTAACCACTCAAGAAATTTTTATGAGCTGACATTGAATAAGAATCAAAATCAAAGTAATAATTTTTTTTAAAGTTAACCATCTGTTCCACTGATATGCATGCCAGAGAGATGTGGTAAACCCAAGGTAAAAGGTTAACTTTTATCTAGACATCACCTACCTGGCAATACTCCTTTAAGACTAATTAAAGTTTACAGTACAGCCATTCTCTCAATCTAATTGAAGGTTTGTTCACTTGAAAGTGAACCTAGAACATCACGAACGATGCTCACAGGTGACCTGGTGGAATATTTGCACAGCAAGCAGCCATCTGGTCATCTTGACCCACCAAGTCTTAACTTGTGGCATGATATTTGTTCCATGGATACATCCTGGACTGATATTTAAAGGGCTGGTCTACTCAACTGTTGTTAGGTTTAAGTTGGTAATTATTTACATGTAAATAAATCATTAATGAGATGAAGTTCTTGGCATGTTTCTTTAAACATTTTGCAGAAATAAAACAGCCTTGACCTTAGTCAATTATGAGCTAAATTTGATAATACTGAATCAGTAATGCAATGATTAGCTTCTAGGAGCTTGATGATGTAAAATGTAAACTAAAAATATTGCATGAAATAGGGTTTTCTTCCTTTCTTAATTAGTCATTCACCAAACTATTATTGTATTGAATTATTTGGTAGAATTTTAGTCTTTCATCAAACTGTTATTGTATGAAATTATTTGGTAGAATGTAGTAGCAGAACTTTAGTCTTTCACAAAACTATTATTGTATTCAATTATTTGGTAGAATGTAGCGGTAGCACATAAAATCTTCCGGAGGACATTGGCAAGAATATGCAAATGAGAGAATGTAATTATATTTACAAGTTTTTTGTATTAATAAAAATAAAGTTGTATAAATTTCATTTGAATTTTTCCATTGTTATTTATTGACCATTTACTAGGATTAAATTCTGCTGAATTCAATTGTCTGAACTAGCTGGTGATTTCAGGGAGATTTCTTTCTTACCGCCATTTACTTCAGATGTCACTAATAATCTAATGCCACAAAGCCCAAGTCATTTATTTATATTCAACTCACAAAAACGTGTAACATACATTTCATTCTTCCCCATTATACTATTGATATCACCTCAAGATTTCTTGAAACAAAAACATTGAGACAGATCAAGAAAATAAACAAATGCAATATTTGCATAAATTACTATCTTTTATACATCAATTTTCACATTTCAAAATATCAACCCTGCCTTGTAATAATGAAGGCACAGACAATACTTATAATAAAATTTATTTACTTTAAGACTATGTTGGTAAGTCACAGAACTTGATCTAGGATTTCTCAGTTGACTGGGACTTGTAGAGTTAACCAACAGAAAAAGTCAAGTTAACTTTTCATTTCAACGGCACATCTTTTAAAGTTTGGAGTCAACACCGGAATACTGGCTCATAGAAGCTGATATTGAAGTAAGGATAAAACATGGAACAGATTACACATGGGTGGGGCATAGGGATCAATAATTAATTCTTTCATGGCTAAGGTGGGCATTGTAGTGGCTAATCCAGGGTATGGAAAGAAGGGCAGATGCCCTGGGCGCCACTTCCAGGGGGTGCTAAAAACTCTTTTTTTAAAAAAAAAGTGTAAGCGTCTCATCTGGAAGCCCACGAGTTTCATTTTGTTGACAGGGGTTAGGGCGCGCCACCCTATAGCAATATAAAAATTCACCACTAATCAGCACCGCTTACATTAATTTTTTTTAAAGTTGCAATTCATAGTCTGGCCAGACAAAGTCATACAATTTTGTAACAGTACCCAGTACATATTTCCTAATACCACAAAAATCATTGTTTCGAGTATATATACTATTCAAGTTGTTCTTGTTTCAAAATATGCTATCGGCTTGAGCTTGAATATTTTATTTATTATTTTTTTAAGAAAGAAGGCCACGAAAAGATTAGAAATAAAGTGGAGCTGAAGGGCGAAAGAAATTTAGGAGATCACTTTGATGAGAAACGAGACGAGTGGGTCAGGGAGGAACATTTTGATTAAATGGTTAGTAGTTTAGGGAAAGTGGGCGGTGATTTTTTGGTGGCGTCCAATTGTTGGTGAACTTTACCTTATTTGAATAAGTTATGGAAGATTGTTACATAAATATGTTCATTTTGTTGAGCATACTTTGGTACATGACTTAATTCTTCCCCCACTGTGTATATCATTATCATATAAATAGCCTGGTCAGGAATAAAACATTTCTAAGGAATGTAAACCAGCAACCTGTACAGCACACATGGGTATTTTTAAATAAATTTATAAGTAGCAATTATGCTATAAACTGAAATATGATTTTTGAAAATGAATGAAATGCATTAATGTATTATTAACACTACAAATCAACTGCTTTCTTCATGTAACTAACTTATGTACATATATTCACATTCGCTTGTTTTTAACATAATATAATATGAAAACAAATATGTAACAGCATATGCATGAGTTAACATTTGGTTCACATGTATGTCTTGAATAGTTGTTCTGTGACATTAATTGGATTTTTTTGTCTCGTCAATGTCTTGTGAAGCATCACAGGTTTAAGCATATTGTGCTGCTCTATTAACTAATAATTGCTTTTAAGAAGATAGTTTAAAATTTGTAAAACTTATTAAACTTTCTCAAAGTAACATGAATGAAAAAAAAAAAAAAACTTATTTACAAATTTATATTTTTAAAAAATTTTTAAAAATTATTAAAATTTCTAAAAAAAAAAAAAAAAAAAAAAAAAAAAAAAAACTTATTTACAAGTTTATATTTTTATGCCAAATTTCTAAGACACCTTAATGGCATTTTAAAAAGTTTTGAGGGTAAGGGAGGCAAGGCTGTTTCACCAAAAAAAAAAAAAAAAAAAGTTTGAAATGTACAATATCTAAAAATAACTTTTCATTGCAGATACTATTTTGAAATCTCTGTCAAAATATGAGTATTATCTGCTTTTTCGCACATATATTTGTGATATTTCTATGCCAAACTGTATCAAATAATTTTCCAATAAGTGTTAAAAATAAATTTGGATATGTGAAATTATTGTATTTTACAGGGGCAAGAATTATTTAAAATGGTAAAAGTTGCTTTCTTTTTGAATAATTTGAAATGAAAAGAAAATTAGTTTGTTGTTATTGCTCCTTATTGTTCGGAAACTCAACATATTGTTTTTTTTTAGTTTCCTTCCTTATTAATAATTTGTTGCTGTTTCTATTTTTGGATGTGCCAAGCTTTGATTACCAGAAAGGACTACTAATTAATGGTCCAGTTAATCACTCTTGATCTATTCAAGTGATATTTTTATACATGTTTTATACAAATTTAATACACCCACCAAAAGAAAAAAAACCCTTAGAATTTTAGATAAATATAAGAGGTAAAACTGCATTCCTCTTTAATTTAAACTTAAAAAATTGAGAAAATTGAAAGGGATCAGAAGGTCATCATGGAGTGTAATGAGATTGCCCAGTTACGGTAGTGTCCTAATATACAGTTTGTTGCGGTTTATCTTTTCTTACCATTAAGTTTTGTGTGTTTTCTCCCTTTTTCTTAATACATCACCAAAATGAAAATGAGATTAATCGATCATCTTATCACAATAAACTATATATTTACATAACAAAAAATGTGAACCTATCATAATAACAAAAACATAATTGTATAGATTTTTTAGAGTCAATGTCACTAGAACAATGGAAAAAAGGAAAAACTAACTCAGCACATTATAATGTTGACAATATTAAGTACACATCAAATCTTTCAGTTAAAATATTTTATCAAAACAAACCTAAAATCTTTAACTTTAAACATGAAACTGTGAGGGAGGATAACTCCCTGAGATTGCTTGGTAATTTGTACATTGACAACCCACCACACACACTACTGAACCCAATGACATTATAAAATATATTATGAAACATTTTTTAATTACTTTTTGGGTGCTCCTTAAAGTAACTTAAGATTGTATATCAAAAGAATTTAATCTTTTGTGTACTGAGAGGACCCCATTAACAACAAAAAAAATTGTTGATGACACAAAAAGTCTTATTCTGGCCTTGGTCATTATATTAACTGTAGAATTGACATTTAAATAAAAATATAGATACATATTTAGACTAGAAATGCAATCAACAATTTTACATTTTTGGCTCATGGTAAAAAGCATACACAAATTTCATTTCCTGTTCAATAATCTAAGATCCATAGTGATTATGTCGGTAAGCTGAGACCAAAAGTTTATGACACATAATATGGACAAAAACCATCTTTTCAAGTTAATCACCAACTTTTGTATTCTTGTTTTGATTAATTAAAAACAAATGTTTAGAAACATGTTAAAATGGATCGTCTATCATGACATATACATCTTTTTTTCTTACTGTACATAGAAATGAAGGCTTTCCTCCAAAGCATAAAATGTCATAAGTAGCTAATCTGTTCCCTTAACTTGTTACTTGCACATTCTAACAGCATTTTAAAGCTGTAAATACAGCATTGTAAAGCTGTAAATACAGCATTTTAAAGCTGAAGATGAGGTTAATTTGATGATTTTTAAGTCATAAGGTGTATCAACCATTACTAGGTTTGTAGCGTTGGTCATTAGGTCAGTATTCGTAAGCTTTCTTCTCTGATGCTGTAGACCAGGAGAAAATGGCACCTGAAATTTATTATTGAAAATTTATATAAATATTTTTTTTGTTTAAATGAACCAAATGCAAAATAAAACAGTGAAGATGCTATTTTTTTGCTTGAAATCCAATAATTTAATGAACAATCACAGCTCTATGTGTAAGATGCAAATGAACTGCTTACTTCTTCTTGAACCTGAGATCACGGATTGCATCAAACACTTCCAGGAGGTATTTCTTTTGCTTTCCTAACCTGAGAAAAATTGGTTTACAAAAATCAAAAACTGTCAAAATGTACCCCAAGTAAATCTATGACAACAATATAACATTCAAACTTGACGGTTTCTTTGTTTTACAATGGTGATTTTATTCTCCCAGTATCTGTGAGATACAGGGAGGATGACACCTTAATTAACACTATGACATTAGGGTCCAATTCAGAAAGAAGACCAGTGATTTGACAATCATATTCCTGAAATGAGGTCAAGCAGTTATCTGCAACAGGAATATTAAATAAATCCCACAGTCGAGTCCTCACCTTTCCAAGATGGTCACAGTACTGGCATCAAATGATGATTCATCACTGAGCTGATAAGAAACAGAATAAATCATGGACAGTAGGACATTTATATTATGACTTATTTTCCTGTGTTTAAAGTTAGTGTTGTGCTCCTCTATTCAATGGAATTGATTTAATATAACTCAAATCAAATATAATTTGTTTAGAAATGGATGAAAAAAACAACAACAAAAAAGTAAACAATGGTGCATTAGATTCCAGCGTCTCAAGTTAATTGTCTTGTTTAACTGAATTGGCTGGAGCTACATCCACATTACCTCCAGATAAGCCTGAAGTGTTTTAATGCTGGCAGTGGTCATTTCAACAGCCAGCACATCCAGATGCTTGTCAGGTAACCATGGATACTGAGTAGTTGCTTTGCTGGCTATCTGATGGCATGAGAAGAAAGAAAAAAGAAAAAGATGTAAAACAAATAATTTAAATTTTTTTGGTTTACAATAAAATGGGGGGTTGGAGTGTTAGACAACTAGGTGACATCACGTTCACATGGGGTGGGGGTGGTTAGACAACTAGGTGACATTCATGTTCACATAGGGTGGGGGTGGTTAGACAACTATGTGACATTCATGTTCACATGGGCTGGGGGTGGTTAGACAACTAGGTGACATTCATGTTCACATGGGGTGGGGGTGGTTAGACAACTAGGTGACATTCATGTTCACATGGGCTGGGGGTGGTTAGACAACTAGGTGACATTCATGTTCACATGGGGTGGGGGTGGTTAGACAACTAGGTGACATTCATGTTCACATGGGGTGGGGGTGGTTA